TTGAATTACTTCTCAATTATCTCCGGGGAAGAGGGGAGGAAACTGTGATGTATGCTGGAAATATTGTGTGACTGTATGTCCTGAAATGCCAGATGTCCATCTGCTATTCCAGTCTCCCATTTGGTCCACTAGGGGAGTGTCCACCAAGTGGGAGACCTGCATAAATACGGGCGGGTAGCCCACAGTAAACTCAGTTCGTGTTTTACCCTCAATGCGGAGCTTGGTCTCGTTATTGGGAGGATTTTATTACCGGCGACTAGAGACTGCTATTTGGAATTATCAGCCGCTTGGGAGATATCGGCGTTCGGCTGATATTGGCGGTTCGTGAGCTTGAAGCTCGTGGAGGGAAGTGACCGTACGGATACCGTTCGGGAGTTTGGAGTATTCCCTTGCTGTCGGTTCGCATGATTGTAGTGGGTACGCATGCAGCCTACATTATTGCGAACGGGGAACATTCACTAAACGGCGGTTTGTACATTTCATGCTGAAGGTACCGTAACAACTGTTGGCAGCGGTGGGATGACCCTCAGCGCCCAGAGAGACCACTACAACCAGGATTAAATGGATGTACAATATCAAAGACTGAAAAGAGCTACCCTAAAGGATTTATTAGAACAAAGAGGCGGACAAGCCAGTAACCTCAGGAAGAGGGAAATTATTGCGCTATTGTTGGAAATGGATGGAGTACCAGAGGCAGAGGGAACCAATGGACCCAGCACAGCTGATAGAACCCCCGAGGAGGCAAGCTTTGACCCGGCGGTAAGAATCAGGCTGGCCAATTATAGTCCCAACCCGACTATAGCGACCATTGACCGGGTCATGGCCGCTGTGGAGGCCAACCTGCTACGTCAAAGCGATGCTGCAGCAGCCCCAGTCACAGCAAACCCGGGGGAAAGAAAGAAAGTGCCATTTACAGCATTTAAACCTTTTGTGGAGGCAGAAGGAGAGATTGATGGGTACTGTAGCGGAGATGCAATATTCCCCAGGTTATCTCCGCTTATAATCCAAGTGAGGCTCAGGAACAAGTAAATAGTAAATCCACAGGCAAGGCTTCCAGCAGGTAAAATACAGCAATATCCCAACAGCAATCCCAATAACTGGACGACACACAGTTTCAGGAGCAGAACTGAAAGCTTTAATCCACAGTCTCCTTTTAAAGCATGCTCCCATGCAAGGGAGGGATTTACAATCATTAATACAGTAGCCAATCCTGTCCTGGTAACCTCCCACACATCTCCTCCCCTCAGCCAGCATCATAATCCCCTTATCCAGTACAGTAATTCCCCCCGTTTCTGGATGTACCCCTAAACGTAGGGGTACCTCTTTAAATCCTACATCCCCGGATAGCCCTGATCTGGGTGAACAACATATCCAAAAATCACCCAGATCAGACCAGGGGTTCGGGAAATGTATGGAGGGAATAAAATGACCGATCGCACTAACTGAGACAGCCGAATGAGGTTCCATGCGAATGGGCCCTGCGGTCGGTCCTGGCATAAGAGAACAAAATACACAAAAGCCTCTTGCTATAGAGGCTAGGGAGGGTTCGCCTGAATCCCCTCGTTCGGTTCTTTCTATCTAGAGCGGTGTTCGCCTACTCGAGTGTCCGATTTTAGTTCCAGACACTCGACGGCAAAACACCGCTGTTCGGGAGTTTTAAAATTGCTGCCGCCACGTGTTCGTTTGTCGAATGGCGGCCACCCCCGAGAACAAAGGTTACTAGTCAATTACCCGTTCGCAACAATGTTGCAACGGGTAATTGAGGACACACTTCACACAGGGGAGGTCTGGTTGTTCGGTATTTTCATTCGAATAAACTAAGGGAATGAAACTACCGAACAATCAGAGGAATACAATTCTTTTAAAAAAACATATAACACAGCAGATCACATGAATGCAGTTATGTACAATATATTTGCAGGACAGCCCGGTGCCATCCGCTACAGGTACCTTGCTGATTTTGAGCGGCAATGTGCCCTGCACAAGGTACCCCTGGAAGACTGGGTCACTATATTGTCCAGCAAGTTATCCGGCCGGGCCAGTGATGCTTTTCGGGCCATTCCTGATGAGGAGATCGGGGATTATGGGGCCGTCAATGAAGCTTTACTCTCCAGGTATGCCGTTACACCGGAGGCATACCGGAGGCGATTCAAGGACACAGTAAAATCAGCTGGGGACTCTTACGTTGAATGGGCATGCAAAGTACACCGCACAGCTGCCCACTGGATGGCGGGGTGCCGGGCTGTGTCCGGGGAAGAGGTGCTGCAAATGTTCCTGTTGGAGCATTCTTTTGACAAATTATCCCCAGGCGTCAGAGAGTGGGTAAGAGATCGTAAGCCCTCCACTCTGCATGAAGCCGCTCGCCTGGTGGACGAGTATACGGATGCCCGTAAACTGGACAGTGCTATTGGAAAGGCTCCTGCCAGAGTGGAGTACCGGCCAGCAGCACCACCAGCAGCTAACGTCTAACAGCCCCCGATGAACCGGCCGTCTGCACCCCCTCCGTCTACTCATTATCAACAGCCACCCCGGTTCAACTATTCTCAACCCATTAGGTGCTTTTTATGCAAGCAGCTAGGGCACAAGCGACCGGAGTGCCCGATGAACAGTGCCAACCAGACCCAGTCCTGGAGGAAACCAGCTGGCGGCAATCCACGACCACTTCTCCTGGCTGCTCACTGTGTAGAGGAAGAGGAATGCTGGGGCATCCTGCATGAGGCAGACCCTGTCCAAGCTGCACACCGGGATAACAGACAGCACCACCGGCAACGTGTCAAGGTCAACGGGAAGGAGGTCAGTGGTCTACGGGATACCGGTGCAACCATGACATTGCTTCAGAAGCACCTGGTGTCCGAGGCCCAACATACTGGAGACACGGTAGCAGTGCGAGTAGCCGGAGGTGCCGTGTTTCGCCTACCCGTTGCCCGGGTACATTTGGACTGGGGAGTGGGCGCTAGACACGTGAATGTGGGGGTCATGAAGGACTTACCAGCAGATATCCTTCTTGGCAACGACTTGGCACCCCTTGTTTCAGCCTGGCGATTTGCCTCTGCTCTGGGAGATAATTTAATTACTTCTCAATTATCTCCCAGGCAGAGGGGATGAAACTGTGATGTATGCTGGGAATATTGTGTGACTGTATGTCCTGAAATGCCAGATGTCCATCTACTATTCCAGTCTCCCATTTGGTCCCCTAGGGGAGTGTCCACCAAGTGGGAGACCTGCATAAATACGGGCGGGTAGCCCACAGTAAACTCAGTTCGTGTTTTACCCTCAATGCGGAGCTTGGTCTCGTTATTGGGGGGATTTTATTACCGGCGACTAGAGACTGCTATTTGGAATTATCAGTCGCTTGGGAGATACCGGCGTTCGGCTGATATTGGCGGTTCGTGAGCTTGAAGCTCGTGGAGGGAAGTGACCGTACGGATACCATTCGGGAGTTTGGAGTGTTCCCTTGCTGTCGGTTCGCATGATTGTAGTGGGCAGCCTACATTATTGTGAACGGGGAACATTCACTAAACGGCGGTTTGTACATTTCATGCTGAAGGTACCGTAACAGACCTGTAGCAAGATTTTATGACAACAGGCACTGAGGTTTCAGTGAGTACAGTAAGGCACATACTCAAAGGCGTAATTAGAAACCAAGGGGCCTCGGTGTGAAAATTGCCCTGGGGCCCCTCTAGATGTCTCACTTTTCTCCCTCACAACCCTCAATGTGTCTCATTCATACACAAACTACATACAAAATACATACCAAAGGCATACAAAAGACACACAAACTAACATACAGATACACACACACATATATACACACAGACACACATGCAGATACACAGACACACAGAATTACACACTTTGAGATACACAGAATGACACTCCTATAGATACAAATACTGACACAAATACACAGATACACAGACACACATACAGACATATACACAAACACTTAAGGACAAACATTCAAATACACAGACTGACACTCATACAGATACAAACAGTGACACACACTGACATACATATATGCAGACATACAGATACGCAGACAAACAGATACACATACAGACACACATACACACTGTGATAAAGTGAAGGCAGATAGGCCTTTTAACCCCAGGGGGAGTATGTGTAGTTTGTGTTTTGCACAACACAACGCATTGTTTAGTTATGGGCCCCTGGGGTGGAGCATTTGGAGAGAAGGGTGGGCCAATGCTCCACTCCACAGTTTAGTGGTTTTCTGGGGAGACATAGATCCAGGCCAGGGTTTTTTGGACTGTCTCCAACCCACTGCACAGCTGCAGTTAATGAGCTGTTGCAGTGGGAATAAACTCCTCCCTGCTAGACAGGTAGAGGGGGATTGCTGGCTTCCTCCCAGGAAGCAGGTAGGAGAGAGGCTGATCTCTCCAGATAGAGTCAAAGAGACTAGGCACTGGGAGTGCGGAAAGGAAAGCAGTCAGGGCAAGGCTGGCTTGGAGCACTGGGAGTGCAGAAAGGAAAGCAGTCAGGGCAAAGCTGGCTTGGAGCACTGGGAGTGCAGAAAGGAAAGCAACAGGTTAGATAGCAGAGTGTTGCTATCTAAAAGGTTGGTGCAATATTGTTTAGTGTAACCCTGAGAGATAGGGAAACTTATGTCAGTTAGTGCTCAGACAAGCTAGGTTTTTTGTTTATAGGGTTTTCTGTTACATTTATGTTTTCATTTAACTGCTGTATCCTGTGTGAACTTACAAATAAAGTGCCTGGAGTATTTGCAACTACAAGGACTGTGCATGTTTTTGCCCTAGAGGACCGTGCTACCTGCAAACAAGGATCACAACACACATACAGAGACAAACACACATACATACAGAGACACACACACACATACAGAGACACACACACACAGACACACATAAATACAGAAATACAGAGACATACACACATACAGACACACACACACAGAGACACACATACATACACAAACACATGCAAAATGGTCTAGTCACCCTCCTGTTACCTACCTTTTTGATGCAGGAGGGTGACTTCCTGCATCTCCCCCTCTTCTTCCCGCGCAGGCTCTTTGTAAGCTGGGAGGAGTGACCAGGCAGTCACTTCCTCACAGCTCAGTCCACTCTCATCGCTGTTAAAGCCCTGAACTGCTGACCGGGCCTCCTAGAAATTCACAGAATGTGCGGCCCTGGCCCGCGCGGTAGGACCACTGGGGTCGCATGTTCTGGGTCCCATCAGGTGATACATGGTCGCAGGCATCGTGGTCTCAGGGGTCCACGGGGTGGCCGGACCACCTGGAGTGATGGGCCAGGTCACAGCTGCGACCCCTGTGGCCACGGTACTTCCGCCACTGCACATACTAAACGCAGAAGGTTTCCATGCCTGAACTCCAAGATGTACACCACTACTGACCCAAAAGCACAAGAAAAGTCGGCTCCAATATGCTCAACATCATATAAATAAGCCACAGAAGTTTGGGGTTTCTGTTCTGAGGAGGAATGAAATAAAACTGGAACTTTTGAGCCCAATGGATCAGCGGTATGTCTGGAGGAAGAAGAATACGCTGAAAAGAACACTCTGCCTAAAGTTAAGCATGGTGGTGGCTCAGTGATTCTCTTGGTCTGCTTTACATCCATTGAGACTGGAGAAGTCATTATT